GAGACCTAATCGACCTGCGGGGAGAGTGCATGTGCAGGTACGCTGAGACCTAATCGACCTGCGGGGAGAGTGCATGTGCAGGTACGCTGAGACCTTGCACTGCAAAAACAAAAACGCCCATCTAAAATGCTCATCTGCCCATTTTTACAGAAACGTTTTAAGTCCATGCACTGTGCTGTGTGCTGCATGAATGACATTGATAAATTATGAATGATGTAGCTCAAATTTTCACTGTCCTCCCACTATCTCCCAGGTAAATGCTGGCCCACTGGCATACGCCAGGGCCTTCCTCGATGATGCCAGCTCAAAGAGGTACCCAGACAACAAAGTGAAACAGCTGAAAGAAGTCTTCAGGTAAGTCTCGAGATTTCATCCTTACGTTATTTTTAGACATCCACATTTTTTCTGCTAAATTTTTGTTTTCTTTTTTGAACCAGACAATTTGTGGAAGCCTGTGGTCAGGGGTTAAGTATCAATGAGCGGCTGATTAAAGAAGACCAGCTGGAATATCAGGAAGAGATGAAAGCCAATTACAGAGAAATGGCTCGAGAGCTCTCAGAAATCATGCATGAACAGGTGGGTCTGATGTCACTGATGATGAGTATTTTGGTGACATTGTGACACACTGGACATAAAAGCATTTAAACATTTTTACTTTTTATTTGCTTTTGACCATTATTATTATTATTATTATTATTATTATTATTATTATTATTATTATTATTATTGACAAATCATTTTTAAAAAAGTTTCCTTTGCATAAAAGGTGCAGGGTAAGTGTTATGACTGGAGCGGGTTAACTGTGAAACTCATATTGGATATTGTTTAATATCTCTACAAGAGGTACATGTCACAGCAATATATCCTAATAGCCCGATCTCATCACAATTAAGAAGCTAAGCAAAGCTGAGCCTGATCAGTTCTGGTTTAGGTTGCTATTGCAAGTGGTATTGGTGGAACGGTAGGTGGCACTCATCTCTCCTGACCATAATTTTGAAAATCAAATCCCCACTGGAGTAACCAGGGATGCTGTCCTCCAGGCAAGCAAATGAAGGTATCACAGTACTATTTGAAAGAGTAGGGAGCTTATATAAGAGTAGGTTATGTCACCAGGTACAGTAGGTGCTAAATTTTAGTAGTGAAAGAAGTTGGTCCCTTCTTATGTGTGTAATACTTTCGGATATTAATGCAAGGAATAATGTCATTGATAAAATCAACTACTTTCTAAGTGTAAGCCTTACACTTAGTAATGTAAGCCTTGTTTACATTATTTGACTATGAAATTTTATATGAGCTTGATGCCCGACATGAGTGTTCTTCGTACAGGAAATCATCATACTCGGGAAGAAATGTGCTTTGACACAAACTAATATTTGTCTCTGTTTCTCTTTGTGCTGACATCAACAGATCGGATGGTAATATGGCTGTCTTTTTGTGTGGGTTTTTCTGTTTCAGTCACTGTAGAGATTACCTGTTCTGTTTATTCCTTGTGGGGAATATTGTAATTTTGCACAGTGCTTCATCTTTTGCCAGTTGAAGACAGACATCAGTCTTTGACTGCAATGAGTGACAACAGTTTTTTTGTAGAAAAACTGTACAATTCCTTTATGTTTCTGTTTCACTCTTTTCCTTTGTTCATTGAACCTGACCTGATTATCTTTTTTGGTAGCCATACAGTATATAGCAGATGTCAATATACTGACAAGACAGAGCCTGTGGTCTTCCGTTGTCATCAACCTTTACCCTTACATGTGAAGAATCAGCCTCTGTCTTACCGCACCTTAGCCAGGAATCTAACATGACTTATTTTCCTCATGACAGGTTAGGTACACGTGATCTGAACAGAAAGCAAAAGATTTCTTCTGTTCTTTTCTGTACATGTCTGATTTTAATTAGCCCCGTGGGATGGCCAATTTCTATTTGAGAGCACAATATGAAGCCGGCATACCTGACATAAGTGGTCAACTACCTTTGGGGTGACAGTAGCCATGCTTCCATTTAGCTGTAATTTAAATATTATTAGCTGTAATACAGATAGACTAGAGTTTATTAGTTGCCCTGCAGTAAAGCTACATTTATGCCATGGAAAATTAAATCATAAGAAAACTGAATCTGCTGTTTAATAATTAATTACCTGATACAACAGCGCTTTTTTGGCATGCAAATATCAAGTCACATTTTACAGCAAATGATAAACACCCTTAATTAGAGGTTGCACAGCTATAGTTGAATGTCTGGGTGCTTCTCGTCTCTGTAAGAAAACAACCGATTTTGGTCATCAGTTGATAAACTCTTGTTTATTTGTTCTGCTCTCTTCCCATTGTAAAGATCAGTCCAGTGGATGATGGGGTGAAGAGTGTGCTCCCAGACTCGCTTCACATTTTCAACGCCATCAGTGGGACTCCGACCTCCACCACCATCCAGGGTATCCCCAGCTCTTCTTCAGTGGTGTGAAGGACGGCGCACAGAAAAGTGAACGCTGTCCCTTAGGAACCATCATTTGGTTTTCTTTCTACATCATTGTTTACACTCGGAGGAGCGGTCTCCAAAGCTGAATATCGGGCGTGTGGTACAAATCCATGCGCGTTGAGGGAACAGAGAAAACAGAGAAAAGAGAAAACAGGTCTGAGCTCATGTCTGACGTGGTAGGGCTTCCGTGTCCTGCAAAGGGGATGGTGTTCACAATTTCATGCCGGTTTACAGAAATTGTTACTGCTGTGTACGAAAGTATTGCAGACAGTTTGTTTTTGTGCAGGACGTTCTCCTTACACTGTGGAGTGTGGCTACTCAGCACAACAAGAATAAAAAGGGGTTTTGAAAGGAAGTTTTTTATCGTTTTACCTTTATTGTGTATAGTTTCCATATTAAACTGTATCTGTGCCGTGTTCTTGTGTAGTGTTTCCTGTGGAGACTCAAGAATGTGGATTTTCAGCAGCAAGAACACTTCATGCATGTAATTAGTTACCTTGGTCTAACATATGGTCAATTCTATATTCTTTTTTTTAATGAGCCGAAAACTCTTGTCCATACTTTTGTATGTATTCAGGTGTATTATAAATGTCTCTTCTGAAACTGAGCATTCATCTTCAGAGGGAGTATTAATGAACTATAATGTAGCTCTCCACATGTTGGCGTTCATTAGTATATTACCGACTTTCTGTTTATGAAGACATTATATTTCTACACAGAATCGTCTTATTTTAAGGAATCCTCACAAGAGTTTTAGCCTCCTGCTTCAGATACTTAAACCTCTTAATTTTATTATTTTAAAAAGTACACTAAAAATAAGGCCCTAGCACAAATATATTTTAAGTTGTTTATTCTTGTATATAAAGGAGTGCAATATTTGTCTTTTTGCAAAGTGTTTTATGCTGTTTGGTTCGTACACTGTAAAGATAATGTTCATCCTTTTGCCAAAGAGATGGAATATGTAACCAGTCATAATGTACCTTGCGGACATGTTTGTTCAGAATTAAAGCTTTTACCATGTTGATGTTCATTTAAATTGTTAATTGCATAATTTTATATGGGGAAGTAAGGGTTTTTTATTTTATTTAACTGAAGGTCACCACTGTTCTGCTGTATTTAAATTATATGTTCCCTAATGCTTCTCTTTCAATTAAAATCACTAATGTCTCTGCAGATGTTCTAACATGAGTGTTTTGTGGCTCTCATGGTAAGAAAGGAAAAAAGGAGAACCAGACTTGTGGTCTGTTTTGACTTTATAATAATTTCTTGTCCTTGTCATCTCACAAAAAATCATGTGTTGTCCTGCTGGAGTTCTATAATTGTCAGGGTGAGCCCACAGGAAAAGTATATGTGACATCCCAGAACTTGAACAGGTATAGTATGTGTCCATGCTGTCAGTTTGTCATCAAGCGCTACAAGTGGAGGTCTGTAGCACCTAGACTTGGTCCAGTGAATGGAAAGGTTCATTGAACACACCAATTATTGTGGCATTCTCCATGTCTTTGAGACAATCACTGAGGTCCATTATGGTGAGCATTAGAAAATTGATTCATCGCTCAACAGGAGCTGCATCTGACTAATGGCACAAAAGCTGTGAACTGCCCAGATTGCCCACAATGCACTGAATTAGTCCAGCTTGCAATATACCGATGGCACAAAGAGCGTATTCTCTTCAAAAACAGGGAGATTTTTATGCTTGATTTCACAAGGCTTGACTTTCAACAAGTTATTAAAACACCTCATTAACTACACCTAATCAATACTAACAAATGAGGTGATTTGGTGCTAATGCAACAGTCAGTCACCCGAGAGTATTGCAGTTTGTCGTGAATGAATTCAAATGCCACCAAATTCATTTAAATAATATTCATGTTTCGTTGTTCCTAAAGAAATGCATTAAAAGAGTGATGCAGTTCTTCTGATCCTCAGGATAAATAAAAAGAAATGTCTCATTGCATAATGCAGGTCCTGTGCCCAAGGAACTGTGTACTGTATGGAAACTGCCCTGAAGCAGTAATCAGAGTGGTAGTTGTGTTTAATCTTAAAACCTCAAGTTTACTATAAGCCTCATACTGCTCATACTCATACTTACCATTCTCTAACCACTTTACCTACCCAGTACAGGCTTGCAAGAGAGCCAGAGACTCCCAGCAAGCATCTGGCTCGTGGCAGGATACACCCTGGACTTGACGCCAGTCCATCACAGATCCTAAACAATCCTTCACCCCAATCCAGTTTCAATAATTGTACATTCAATTTAAATATGGTTTTCCAAAGCTTTAAACCTAATCCCAGCGTGATTGCATCTCCATACTCTGTTTTCCTGTTTAGAAACAGAAGCTAAAGAGCACTCTGCCAATAATGAACACTTGCATTAACGAAGACGGTGCTGGTCAGATTTAACAAGCAGCAATTCATGGATTGTTCAGGAACTACTGACTGAAGTACATTCAAAGAGGCTTCCAATGACCTGAACTGGTATACAGAGTTGGTCATGTCTTATATTAATACGTGGTTAGCTGTGTTCATACCAGAAATATTTGTTTACATCCAAATAAAACCTTGGGTAAAGAGACATTTGCAACAAACTTAAAAACTGTGCTGTAGAGTTCTATTTAGGAGATGGAGAAATCCACGTATGACATGGAAAATTTTATCAGACAGGTAAAAAAGGTATAAGAAGACAAAAATTTTGAAGGCATTGATTCAATAACTATAACGATTCATGAACTATAACGGGGATGCCCTCCATCGAATCTCCTTGTAAATCAGGGGTGCTAAGGCTCACTGAACACAATATGCACAGCACCTTTAAGAAGGTACAAAACCAATAAAGACCCTGGCCTGGAAAGTCCTGGAATCCTCAAAACCTTTGCAGATCAATTAGATATTTTCAATCTCTTACTGTTCCTGTCTATTTTGTTCCTGCCTATTGTACCAGCTTGCTTCAAGGAAACCACCATAGTGCCACTTGCTTTAAGGAAACTCAACTTCCCAGTGAAAATTGCAACCGAAGGAAACTGAACATTCTGGGCACTGTTGAACATTACCATACATGACTGAACTAAAAACATTAGTTTGCTTTTCCCACCATGTAATACAAAATAGACAACTTTCATAGCTGTTCGTTTTAATGAACCCAGTGCCGGCCAGAGCATAGCTTCTCCCTTTTGAGCCTTGGTTCTTCTCAAGGTTTCTTCCTACTTTAATCTAAGGGAGTTTTTCCTTGCCACTATTGCCTTAGGCTTCCTGACTCAGGGTTCAGGCCCAGAAATCTGTAAAGCTACTTTGTGACAATGTCCAAGTGTAAAAAGCACTATACAAATAAAATTGAAATCAGTTATTAAATGCTAGAAAAGGCTAGTAGTGACTTGCATCAATTGCATTATTACTATAAAATGATCGGCATCACCGTACGATATGACAACATAACCACAAAGGACAGAAAGGCCCTACAGAGGGCTGTGACATCTACAAAAACACTCACAGGATCTGACTTACCATCAGCTGAAAAGATCTACAGTATATCAACCATTGCTTAAAAAAAAAGCCTGTGCCATAATACAGGATTATAACCACCCCGGACACAAACTGGTCTCATCTCTGCAATCTGGTAGGCAAGACCACTGTATAGGAAAACAGACCACCAGGTTCAGACAGTTTTTTTATCCTCAAGTAGTATGTGTCGTGATTAACTACTAGCTAAATTCCAACTGGCTGTCTGGGATTACCATTACCATTATTCATTACCACTAAATTTTTAATCTTGTATTTTAAAAAACTGCAAACTGTTGAATACTCTTGTAAATTATCAGTTGTGTATTATTTTCTTTATTGTATGTTATATTGTCCTTTGCACTACTCACTTAGCATTTTTATTGCTGTCTTCACCTATCTGTACACTAAGAGAGCAGTTGGAAATAAGAATTCAATGTACATGTTACTAATGACAAATACATTTTGAACTTGAACTCTAAGATTAATCACAAATCCTAAACCTTACTTGAGTCCAGCTCCAACATTCAAGATTTCTTTCTACAGTGCTCACTAAAGCCAAAGCCAGCTAAGCCTTATTCTACATTCAGAAGTGTGTGAAAAATCAGACTCACTAAAATGTCTTTTTGCTTGCTTGATACCTTTGTCTGCTGTAAGTTGAGTGTTATCTAGTTACCCAAAATCACAGACCATTTTATAACCCATTCACTGTCCCTCTTTTTTTCTAGAGAAAATAGAAATTGTTTCCTCAGATGAAAAAACAGTCTCTCTTTAAATCTGCTCTAAATGTAAAAAAAATACTGTAGTCTTTCTAAAGAAACTTCAAGAATCTTCTGTTTTCTCAAATGTTGAGAAATTTGCAGCATTGAATTTGGAATCTTCAGTCTTCCATCAGATTCCCGTTTCCTTTCAACGGGTATTTGCTAGATCATTCTGGTGGCTTTCCTGATTTGAATATCCATGCTCTGTTTAACTACAATATTTGTTTCTGAAAAAAAGGTGCAAGAGCCCTTGCAGAAGTCAGTCCAAACATTTGTTCACATGGAGTCATATAAAAAGATGCTTCTTATCCACACCCCTCTCTGCAGCAAAATGAAGACTTTTATTGTCCAATATGGTTCCTTCCTTGGAAATGATTTATTGCTCAAGTGCACCTAAATTATTTTCTTTGGATTATGTCTTACATCAAGATTGGAGATAAGAGCCAGAAAGAGGTTATCAATTAATCACAGAGTAGCAGATTCATCTGTACTATCATTTCAGAAGCAGGGTGAAGTTTGGCAGCTCCATGAGTTTTAATTTTTAGTGACCTGATGAGGCACTTGTATTACTCTGTTAGATTGTTCTTTCCTTCTTTCTTTACTTTGTGAAAAAGTTTAAGGATTTTAGATATCATTTTAATTAATTGATAAATTGTCACTGTGATACACATAAGTTTCTTTAACCATTCCGTAAGAACTAAATCACCATATTAGTGAGAGAGATTATAGGGCACAGGAGACGAAGTAATTTACTTTACTGGAAGACAAGCCTGATGGAAATTTAGAAAAATAAAACTATGCGTCTCATTTTCCAAGAAACCCTTCATACGTGTGGACTGGACTAATTCAGTGCACTGTCTCTCACTCTCTGGGGTGTTCAAAGCCAGCAGTTTCTAACCTGACAAGATGTCGCAGCCAAAAACAATCTGTCACCTACAGACCACAGCACTGCGTTGGTCAAGGCCTCTTGATGACCTCCTGTCCTTCCTGGGCTCATCCAGACTGTACAACACTCCAGCTGAACAACATATGTCCCCATGCTGCTTGTATACAGTAACAACATATTTAAAGAAAACAAGATTTATTTTTCCCTGTGGGCATATTTAATTAAGGAATTTATTACTAACGGATCTGCTCCTATTTTGATTGCATGCACCACTAAAGACCCAGCTCTTTAAAACTGCTCTGCCTGGTACAATAATACTAGAAAACACCAAAATGGCCTCCGAAATCTCTGCCCTTCACCTGTTATAATAGGCTGACCGTGATGGAATAATGAAACAGCTTAACACAGTCAACAGAGTTTTGTTGTTGAGGTCAGGTAGGTTGACTGAAAAAGAATGCTGACATGCTTAGAATCTGTTACCAGGAACAGTGCCGACAAATCTCACTCTCATAGTCTACAAAAAGGCACCAGCCAAGAGAAGTTGTGTCAATAGAGCTAATTGTCACACTGGGGTTGAATGTTATTCAAAGAGCTGAGTGAAAAGGTACAGTATCATCAGTGCCATGTTTCAAACGTGAGTCCAATTTGTTGTAGCAGTTAGTTTTTTGACTGGATTTCTTTTGTGTATTTTCATTTTCTTTTCAGCCTGAAGTCTATAATGTTGATTTCTCGTGCTATTCTGTAGGCATGGTGTCTGAAGCATAGTGTATATGCTGTATGTAGCAAATTTGTTCTGGTTTGGTAAACATTCCATCTAAATATACAAAGATTTATCTTAAAACTACTCTAAATGGAAACAATACTGTAGTTTTTCTAAACAAACTTCAAGTACCTTGATAATCAATCTTTTACTATTTTACACATGCTACTGTATGATGCTATTTCTAGACTGAGTTTATTTCATGAACTACAGGGAGCTAAATGAGCACATTCTTTAAATTATTAGTGCCCAACCTACTAAATACACATGTGCAATTTATTTAATGTGCTACATTTAGTTCGATGTATTATCCAATATCCTGGAATGGGTAGATGTTTCTAAGGCACTGTATTTTGAATGCAAAAGTAAAAACACTGGTTTCTAACTAAGGTATAACCAAACAACATTGATCTATAGCATGTCTACAGAAAAATATAATAACACCTTTTGCTCTGTAATTCTTCTCCTATACAATACTTACAACCATATGCCTGATTTTTTGCCTTTTTTGCTGCTACATGTAATCTCTGATGTCTTCCCATATTGTTTGACATTAAAATACCTTTGTCATGCTGACTATGTATTCAATTATTCCAGCAAAGAAAACATTCAAAGTGATGTCATAAAGTCGATTGTTTATAAATGTCACACAAGTCATATAAGTCCTTTGGAAGAAAAAGAAACTAGAGACATACTTTTCCCATTCCAGTACTCTCTTTACGAAATCAGAAGTCTCTCAGCGTGAGCATCATAAAAATTAAAATGTCAATTTTCATTTACTTTTCTCTCATGGGACACTGTTCCTAAAAATAGGAACTAACTGATTATCCATTTGACTGTGGAAATCTAGTAGAGTTTCTTTATTAATTTTCCATTCACAAGACAACAAGGGCATGTTATATTAAACTGAAACAAATTACCTATTGATTGTCACAAATTAAAATTTGGCTTTTTTGGTCAAATTATGTCAAATTCCTCTTTTTTTCCTCTCCTGAGAAGACAATTGTCATTACCTCAACCATTTAAGCAATGTCACATAAATTAAAAACTTAAGACACTCTTCTGTTAGTGGGGATCCAGTTTTATTTAAAGAAATTGTCCTAATTCTGTTGCTCTTTTGTAATCGCACAAAATAGATTTGAAGACACACAGATTTGGTGTAAAAACAAATAGGTAAATTAAGTATCCCCTGCATGCCAGCAATGTGAGGACTCTGTCCCAGACCACAGTGCTGTTACCTCAGCCAGTTTACACAGTCACTTTACTCCTCTTTACAGAGTGCTTGAGGCCCTGGATCTTTGTGAGAGTTTAAGGTTTCAAACTCAGTTCCCGGAGGGCCTATTGTCTTTGGTTTTCTGTTCTACCCCAGTTTTTAATTACTAAATTAGTTGCAGAATTGCTCTACATCTGACAAGACTCTGAGATATGCTTATGATTAACTGTCTCTTTAATAAAGCCTTCTGTGGAGCCTTCTTCAGGTTAACCCCAAGAAGGCTCCACAGCCAAAATGTTGTGTTTCTTTTCTTCTCTTTTCAGCATGGAATAAACCTTTACTTGTTAGTTTACATGTACACTCTCTGTACACTTCTGTAAAGACCTTTCTAACACAGTGTTTCTTTTATGTCTTTTTGGACCAAAAAAAAGCTTAAAATGGAAAAAACACAAAAAAAAAAGAAACTGAAGGGACTACTTAAAAATCTACAGGATTCTTCAAGTTTGTTTCTCTTTGCTTGTTTCAGCTTTGAGCTAAAGCAGCAAAGCGACAATGATGATTTTGCCAGTGCACATTTCTACCTCCACTCCCAAGAGAAATTAAATATTCAGTATTTGCAAGCAACATGTGTTTGGGGAATTTAAATAGCCATGATGAAAGTTAAAGTGGCTCCATGCCCATGCCCCCAGAATAAATGAGAAAATATGGCTCCAAAAATGTTCCTTTTTCTTATTGAAGATACATACAGTATTACTGTATATTATGCCCTTCCTATTCCCAGAGCATGAACGTTTACTGAGAAATACATTTCCTCCCTTTTTCTAGTTAATCAACAGATGGCTTTCAGCCATAAAGAGCTTCATTATTCTGGGAGGGCAAACACGGAGTCCAATCACATGTAAGATTACACATGGACTAAGTCCATTGTTTTTAACCTTAAATGTGGGAACCCATAATAGTTCTTTCCTTTTTCCTCAAGGCTACTTTCCAAGAGAGGACAAGGAGCCTTTCCCAAAAACCAGAATTATGACAGGTTCGTATCTTGTTCTTTACAGATCCAAGCTCAAAAAAGTACAATGGATTTTACCAGCAAAAACTTTTAAAATCCTGGTGTTTATTATCTGGATTAATATGTTTTTAAATATGAATTTAGATATGTAGGTACAAATCTTCAGTGGCACAGTAACTTACTCTATACAACAAATTAAAGATATATTTATAAATATTCGAAAGTGCTTTGAAATGCAAATATTTTTTACAGGTCTTATAAAAAACTGTTGGGATTATTTTATGAAAACAGTTAATGGCACAGATTCCATTATCTTCCAGTATTAAGCAAATTAATAGGTCAAGATAATTAATTACTTAAGATCGCACTGCATGGATCTTTCTTGGCTTTTAACAGGTCACAGAAAGTCCTTTTAGATTACCCATTTTTCTATTTTCTAAAATGCTGCTCACGGGCCATATGATGACAGAGTTTTTTATTTTTATGCAGAAAAAGAAAGAGTAAGAAAACCCAAATCTCAGGTAGGTGCTAAATTCAATTATTCATGTTTGTGTTTAGTTTTGTCTGAAAAAAATGGTAAAAAATTGCCACACTTTGAAATCCTCTTTATGATTTATGTTTCACAACACAAAAGTGTTCACAGTAAGAGTACCAGTATGGCTCCTTCCCTAGGTTTTGCAAAGAAGGCATATAGTATTAAAATGCATCATGTACTGAAAATGGAGCTTAATGTTAACTTTGTGGAATGTATATGTGCTCTTTTACTTATTCGACTTATTTACTCCATAGGGATTTACAAAAAAATAGAGTATATTGAATAGAGTATATTGTTGAAGTACCTCAGCAGAACCCCATCTATGCCATTAATTACAAGTTTTAGTTAGTTTAGGGAGCAAAGTTACCAATCTGTAGCATGAAAATGTTAGTACTCAGAAGCTAAGCAAGGTTGGAATTGAAATGGGAGACCTCTAAAGAAAACCGGGCTGCAGTAAATGTGTTAGTAGACCAGTGGGTGGCAGTCTTCCCTCAATTACCCCAATATGGAGATTGGAGACGCTTTAGTGAAGGAGTTGCAAAGACATTTCACTGAGATTTTGATTAGTTGGTCATTTAGTAACACTGTTTGTTACAGTAGGAATGTTACCCCCTGAGGCTTGGCTAAATTTCATATTGGACTTGCACAATCCAGACTAGACTGTGCCCCTAAAATTCAATTTGTGATCTGCAATTTCTCTCTTCTCCAACAGCTCCGCAGTCAGACTGCTGGCGCCTAAGGGTTGCCGCGCAACATAAAGAATTGTATTTCTCTATTTCAAATAGCTCATCATTCAATAACAAGGAGAGAACTTTTTAATCTCTGAGATCTTCACATAATCGTGCTCCAGTTTTTCATTTTCTATGTTACTGCATCCCAGGTGGAGGTCTGCGGCTATCCCCTCAGCATTTTCTTCATCGTCGTCAATGAGTTCTGTGAAAGATTCTCCTACTATGGCATGCGAGGTAATGAGGAATTCTCCCATTATCAAAACAGACATACGGTTGTAAGGTTACTGTGTTTCCTTGACATGACACTGAAAGTTGATTTGCTGTATTCCCCTTCTGTTCCCCAAAACAGCGGTGCTTGTCTTGTACTTCAGGTACTTCCTTAAATGGGATGATGACACAGCGACCTCCATCTACCACACTTTTGTGGCCCTGTGCTACCTGACCCCAATACTTGGAGCCATTATTGCTGACTCATGGCTTGGGAAGTTCAAGTGAGTGTTTGACATGTAAATAACAAACTACAATCCCAGTTGGTTTTCAGACACATTTCAGACAAAAGTGGTTACATTGACATGGGCAATGACCCCATATAGGTACTGGGGTCTCCTGTCTGCTGCAGAAAGACTAAAGTTAGTTTTCTCTTTGACATTATTGAGGAAAAGCAGCAGTGATAAATAATGACTGCATTCACAAAATTACATTTTCAATTGAGCATGAGTTTGAAAGGGAAGAAATAAATATAATTTTTAAATTTATTTTCATGTGTTGTCTTCTTATAGGACTATCATCTACTTGTCCATTGTCTACACCATTGGACAGGGTGTGATGGCAGTCAGTGCTGTACACGACATCACAGACTCTGACCGCGATGGAAGTCCAAACAACCTCACTTTACACATGTGAGTTCTCTTACCATAAAACTGAGTTTATATTTGTTAAGTGGATGCAATTTTGTGGCCTAGATTTTTCACACCCTGCCAGATTTCAGTAAGGGGTCTGTCTTGATGTATTTGCTCTTCTGATGATATAAATGTTTTCTAAAAAGTAAGTTGACTTTTAACAGGAACATTTATGTAGGAAAGAAAGTGTCTGGTTGAAAATGGGTGTTCCCAGAGAAATCTACCTGTGCAATTGTCTCCTTTTTTCACAACTATTTTAGTTATCCTGCTGTGTCATTCCTTGGAAAGAGCTGTCTTTCCATTCCATACCACTTTTATTTTGACAGATATGATATTTGCAAGCAAAGATGTTTATGGTTTTAGGATTTCAGTTAGGAATTAAAGTCTAAGGACCAGTTTTCATTCTGTTCCATTCTACTCTATGGACTTTCCTTTCTCGTTTCAGTGTACTGTACATGCTTTCCATTTTGTCTTTTGTTTTAACCTGTTCTGTTTTCTCGACATCAGTGGAGCTGGGATTTCAATTAATATAAACTCCCTTTCCTACATTTGTTGCTTACCTTTTGCCCTGATTAAAAAATGCTGGTGCAAAGCCCGTGGAACTCTTAATAGAGAATAGAGCAAATGGAATAACAAGGATATAGTATTTTGAGAGGCAACTGTTTTGTCCTGGAATTGCGCCCTAGGACAAAACTACTGGATTTCATTTAGGATCGCCTCTGCCTATCAGAAAAAAGGAAAGGATTTTGGGGCGCTGATTTTAAATGCTGGGACAAAGCTCTCCGAACTTGATGACCTGCAGTGAACAGTGTGATGATTCCTCTGCCCCCAGAATTGTGCCGCAAGACACAGCTCACGATGAGTGCATTTCTCTGCCAGGATACAGTGAAACTGGACTGCGGAATTACTTTTTATGTTCTGGAAAGGTTTATAATATTTCCGTTGGTAGAATATAAAAGTTGTCTTCTTATGGAGACCTGGGTAACTCCCTTGCATACTGGGAATTATTGATTTTTTTAACAATTCATTAAATTATTTTAATGTTTTTAATGAAACAATACAGGAAGAGTATGCAAATAGAAAACAAGTATTATTATTTTAAAATACTAAAATCTGCTCAAGTATTGGCTGCTGTGTTCTGTTGCTCTGCCTTTCTGGGTTTTACCCAGTCCCGTTTGTTGACGTGCGAACATTTTTATTATTCTACAGTATGGACCAATATTTTTGGGTGTGTTTTTCACCTTTTAATTATTTGGTAGAAGATGTTCTTTTTTTAATCACGTGTATAGGCCTACTTGTTACAGCACCTTCTTTGTTTAATCATTCATTTATTCCACAGCTAAACTCATTGCAATTGAAAATATAATGAACTTGTTTACTTAGTTTTATTTTTTTACAAGTAGTATTACTTCTAATACACATTCCTTTCTTTACTATTCAGAGCTATAACGATGAATTTGCTGCTTTTAAAAGTATTTAAAGATCGCTCACATGGATAGCAAAGATACACAACGATATAAGGGTTAGAAAGCATATACTGTAGCTGGAGAGCACTGTAGAAATCAAGCTACACACTGAAATATGGGCTTACGTTAGAATAGAGCCAGAAGCAGAATAAGACTCCTAATGTGATTTTAGTATTTTACCACAACTTTCCAAATAAACACAGCTTTGGGAAATACAATTTTGTCACAAATAAATGGTTAGCAAACGCCTGCTAAGTGCATGAAAGATTTGTGAAAGTGTTGGATAAAAATGTCGCTTGAACAGCTAATGAAACCCTCATAATTGATGCACAGAATGAAGTGTTGTTGAGGTTTTTATTGTCTCCTGCTTTTGTTAAGTGCTCTCTCTATGGTTGGCCTTCTTCTCATCGCGCTGGGCACTGGGGGGATCAAGCCTTGTGTGGCGGCCTTTGGGGGAGACCAGTTTGAAGATCACCAGGTCAGAAGAGACATGAGTTCGATACGCGTGGCTCTCGTGGCATGAAACAAGCAACATTTTCAAATGTTTCAGGAATGTTCATGCGACCTTCACACTATAGCCTCTATCTGGTTACTGCCGCCTCTGCGTCAGTAAGGGTTTCTATCAGTCACCTAGTCACTTTTCACTTCAGCTTACTCTCATGTGAAAGAAAACTGACATCTATAAAAAGGTTACAATCTGCTTAGGCAGACATATAGGCAGAGAGTCAACAATACAGCAGGTTTTATAGGGCACCAATAAGTCATGAATTTTTAAAGACAGCACTGACTTGGGCAATTAAGTAGTTTAGAGAGAATTTAAAATGAAAGTCCACCCTGATTTCCCCAGGGCCACAGCTGGCCATTACTACTTTCTGTGAACCTATTAATTTATGAAACTGTTCAAAACCCTCACATGTTCCATGTCTCTACATATCAATGGCTTAAGGATGAGCTGCTGTATAATGCCTGCTGAAGGTTGGGCTTCCAGGACCAAGTTTGATCTCAATTGTTTGAGAACAATATCAAAATATTATTGGAATGTTGACCTGCCTTAATGTTTCACACCTTCCTTAAAGTATTGTATGACAGAAAGTGAGGTTAAGCAAAAGGGATACTTCTCTTTTGAAAAGATGTTTCATTCAGCTTGCTTAACGTTTATTAGTTTTAATCGTGCAGAATTGTAGAGGATACACAAGTAACAGTCGTCTCTGTTTCTGTTTTACCTTACAGGAGAAACAAAGAAGCACATTTTTCTCCATCTTCTATTTGTCTATTAATGCAGGGAGTCTCCTGTCCACACTCATCACCCCCATTCTGAGAGGTACTGTATGCAAGGACATAGTTTGTTAATTTCCCTCATTAATTTCAATGAATGAAAGTAATTAGTTAGTAATTAATGAGAAACTTTGAAAGAAGCAGCTTTGAACTCCTTAGATGTAAGTTGGACTTGTACATTGACATAGAGCAGAAATAATGTAAGAATTGTTAGTACAGACAATAACCATATTGTTAGAGAGATGTCCAGGTCTAAGATGTGAAAACTGGTAATACAATGATGTTAATGGTATAAATGTGGATATATTACGCAAAGAGAGTCATGGCTCCACATTCTAATTATCTTGCAGGCCAGGAATGTGGCATCCACAGCAAACAGAAATGCTATGCACTGGCCTTTGGTGTTCCTGCAGCACTGATGGTTGTAGCCCTGAGTAAGTAGTCCTCATTAATGTTGCCAAATAGAATAATACAGTTTCTTCTGGTTCCTAACATATTGTTCTCCTACCGGCAAAGCTTCACTCTTTGTTGTGTGAGTGTGAATAAATGTCTGAGGCCTGAACATGATTCCCTTCACTGTAAATGCACTTCCAATGACAATCATTGTTTTCCACCTGTTTTGATTGGACACCCCTTGTGGTTTCTTGTGCTCTGCAGTTGTTTTCATCGTGGGAAGTGGCATGTACACAAAGACAGCCCCTGAGGGGAACATCATGCTGAAGGTCTGCAGATGCATTGGGGTGAGTCCATGTTTATGACTCAATTGTTATTTTGATGATAATTCTCCAGAACATATAAATTACTGTGAACCATGAGTGCTTCAGGTTTCCCCAAAGTCTTTATTGCTTCTTCTTCAAGATGAACTATGTTCCCTGCCAGAAATATAGCATTGCATGCTTATTAACACAAAAGCACCAAACGCTTCCAGTACTTCAATTCAGGGGTTGCTCCTAGTAATTGGGGATGGTGGGCCTTTGTATGTGAGTAGTGTAGCCACAGTGAATATTATGGTTTATTATGCTTTTTTGCATTTATAGCCATTATTGCTGAAGTTCCTAAAAAAGGTGTCCCCCTATATTGAACCTCGAAGTGTTGTTTGGAGAAAGAATTTTAGTCAATACAGATTGTCACAGGTATCTATACAATTTAATAAATGGATTATTTAAAGTGAAAAGATTATTTAAACTCATTCCCCCTCAAGCCTCATTGCTGAACCTCTCAGCCACAAAGGTCTATTACTGTTATCTTTGTGGTTTACTAGTTCAGCTTCATCTCCACAAGATCTCCACAAGGACTCCACAATCCCTGAGAACAAAACCAAGACAACCCCAATTCAAGAGTTGCAGAGTGTGACATTTGTAGCTAGTAAAAACAGAATCATTTATTTACCATCCTTTGGTTGCAGTTTGCACTGAAGAACAGGTGGAGGCACAGAAGCAGTCAGTACTCAAATAGAAACCACTGGATGGACTGGGCTGAAGATAAGTACGATGTATGTTTTAATCTTCACATTTCATATGGAGCAATCTGTGCTCCAGAGTTGCCCTTTTACTCCTCCACATTTTTATCAGTTATCCTTTTACAAGTTATATCATACTTTTGATGTAACCTTTTCATTTTATTTCTCTCCATCCTTCTAGAAACGTCTTATAGCTCAGATCAAGATGGTTCTGAAGGTCCTTTTCCTGTACATTCCCCTGCCTATGTTCTGGGCACTCTTTGATCAGCAGGTAATGAGAAGTGTCATCAAACAGTATTCACCTTGACCCACAATAATCTGAGGTTGTATTAAAAAGTTAGTAAGGAACCAGGATTTCCCAACCTTGGATCTCAGGATGCAGAATCCAGGTTTTCTATGTCTCTTTATTTCACCAACTGCAAAAATGGTGTGGAGAAGGGATAAACTTGACCAAATTAATTAGCTCAATTGAACATTCCTCCCAGGTGAAGAGCTATTTATAAAATAATGAGACAGAAAAAAACAATTGAACAATTGGAGTTGGGAGCCCCTGTTGTAGTCGAATATTCAGAACGAAAAACACCACTTAACCAGTTAAGTCTATTTTCTTATAGAGTGGATTAGTTATTATACGTATATAGTAGTTATCTATAACAGTACTGAAAGACAGAATGTCTTCATGCCGTAATCATTTTTGTAAAAAGACAGTTTTTCGGAACCTGAATATTTGGATGGAATCAACTACAAACAAGCAAGAAACCAAATCAACACACCAATCATAAATCATACTTTTGAGTGCCAAACTCATTTCCAGGAGGGCTTAGTGTCTTCGGCTTTTCACTTAACACTTAGTCAATTAACCAGAATATACTACAGCCAGCAGTCTTATCACCCTGCAACTCACAACTGGTAACCCACTGAAGCTAAGCAGGTGTGAGCTGGGAAAAACTAAGGTTGCTGCTGGAAGAGGTGTTAGTGGGGCCAGCAGGGGGCGCTCACCCTGCAGCCCATGTGGGTCCTAATGCCCCAGTATAGTGACGGGGACACTATACTGTAAACAGGCACCGTCCTTTGGATGAGACGTAAAACCGAGGTCCTGACTCTCTCTGGTCATTAAAAATCCCAGGGCGTTTCTCGAAAAGACTAGGGGTGTAACCCCGGCATCCTGGACAAATTTCCTATTGGCCCTTACCAATCATGGCCTCCTAATAATCCCCATCTATGAATTGGCTACATTACTCTGCTCTCCTCCCCACTGATAGCTGATGTGTGGTGAGCGTTCTGGCGCACTATGGCTGCCGTCGCATCATCCAGGTGGATGCTGCACATTGGTGCTGGTGGAGAGGAGTCCCCATTACCTGTAAAGCTCTTTGAGTGGAGTGTCCAGAAAAGCGCTATATAAGTGTAAGCAATTATTATTAATTATTAATTATTATTATATCACGTCACGTGTGTTTACACAATGTGTAAAAAAAGTTTACGTTAAAAGGCTTTTCTTTTTTTTTTGTAGGGATCACGATGGACATTACAAGCCACCACTATGGATGGGACCTTTGTGAGTTATTGTTATCTCCTGCAACAGTGATGTTTTGTTCTTATTTTCCTATTGTCTTAATTATCCTTATTCAAATAATGCCTTATGTTTTCTTTTCAGGGAGGTATTGTCATTCAGCCAGATCAAATGCAGGTAAGTCAATACACATTCTATTGTATTCGTAATTTTTGTTCACTTCTCTTTGGTTTCAATGCAATTAACACTCATGAAAATTGCTTAATTTTACTTTTCCCCCAACAGACAGTTAATCCAATCTTGATCCTCGTAATGGTGCCAGTTGTGGATGGAATTGTTTACCCACTGGTAAAAAAGTGTCACCTGAATTTTACGTAAGTCACCTGAAAGCAACACCAGAAACTTGCATTTTGTTTTAGAAAATTATTCTCAAAAATTATTCGAAAGCAGTATATCGTAAAAACGAAGAGAAACAAAATGTAAAATCCCAGCAAAAGAATCAAACAAGTATATGAAGAGACAACATGCAACATAAAATCTGTAGAAATATTTTCTACACATTTTAAGATGAAGTGTGACCGATCAGGTGGTCAGAAATACCTGTATAAAAGGGTAGAGAAATGTGACTGTGGAAAACCTGGGCCTTCCTATGGTCAGAGCACTTACAGGACAGGTGTAGAAGTGATTCCTGTGGTACAAACAGATATAGTGTCGATATGGGATTTAAGGGAAACGGGATCTAGTGATGCAAGATCACATCATTTGTTCTCCCATTGTAAACTGTGGGCGGTCTCACTTGCTTTGTGTTCATTCTAGGCCACTGAGAAGAATGACAGTTGGAATGCTTCTGGCAGCCTCTGCTTTCGTTGTGGCGGCTGTGGTCCAAATCCAGATTGACGTGAGTGTGGGAGTCCAGTACTGGTTCGGGTTCTTATGACCAAGTGAGAGTGTACTTTCCTACCTCTCAGTTATGAAATCAAATTGGTTTATTTGGTTTCACCGCTATTTTGTTCACATAGTGCAGTAGAGGAATGGATCTGCACTTGGCAAACTGTGAGTTACAGTATCTAGAAGGACAGCAAAGGAGGATGGAGTCACACTGGACCTAATCCTCAGCATATTACATTCTGCACACTGAAAGAGATGGAATGTTGCTCAAACGTTAAGGTTATAATTGCATACGCTGGAGACAGCCCAAAATGGAGATTGAGCTCTCCACATTTATTTTATGTAAATGGACTATTACTGTACATGTATCTCTATTTATTGTAGCTGGCATTAAGGTTCTGCAGTTCATGTCACTTTCAGTGTGGTCTCAGTTTGTCTACTATGGCTTGTGGCAAAAGACCTATTTAGCACACCAATGTCCCTTTGTCTTGTTTTCCAGAAAACACTTCCAAATTTCCCTCCATCAGATAAAACTCAAATGAAAGTCATTAACTTGGCCAACAGTACTGTGAATGTGACTGTCTTACCTGAAGCATTGAACTGGGTGGCACCTGATTTTCAAGTAAGTTGACAATATCTTATAGAAGTATGTAAGAGGTTAACATTGTATATTTTAAAATATTAGTGGGTAATATATGCTTTTTTATATGTTTGTTTTTCAAATTAATTATCTGTTTAATACATTCTTTAATACTGAAAGCAAATATTTAAGTATAATATAGAATATTTAAAGCAAACAATACCAGCACACTTACATGTTGCATTTCATCACCCTGAAGATACTGTAAATGTAATGTGATCCCAGGACTATATATTCGCAGACAGAGCACAACACATTTGCTATGTTTAAGTAAAAACTGGGATGCTGATCCTACAGGATCAGAGAGGACCAGCACTGTGTATTAGAAATCTCTATCTTGTCTTTCAGGCCACTGATTATAAAGAATTCACAACTGATAAAGTGAAACAGGTTGCTGTTATCTATGGCAATTATGAAAAAACTGTGCAACTGCCCTTTAAGAGTGGAGCTCGTCAGACATTTTTAGTTACAAATACTACAGAAATACACCTGGAAGACAGTTTGGTAAGTCTTAAACCCTGTTACATGGCTACTGTACATACAGTGCCTTGCAAAAATGGATACCTCTTCTCGTGATGTCTAATTTTGTTGAATTACCCATTTGTTTCAATGTGAATACTTTTTAATAAAAGCCCAAATAAGCAGTTTAAATACTTTAATGTGTGAAAAAAAAATTGAAACTAAAAAATGTTGATAGTATAAGTATCAAATGACTCACACTCCCCTGAGTCAATACTTGGAACAAACTCCTTTGACAGACATTACAGATTCACATCCTTTTTTTTAACCATAATGGGATGGTGCAGTTGTCTTCCATTCATCTTTGCAATCTAGCACAAACTCAGCTTGGATGGAGATCGTTAATGGACTACAGATTTCAAGATTCTGCCACAGACATTCTATTGGGCTCAAGACAGTTCTTTGACTGGACCACACAAGGACATTTACTTTCTTCTTGTTACGCCACTGCTGTGCAGCTCTGACCTTGTGCCTGGAGATTCTTACATGGAGTTTTGTGGGGGGGGGGGGTTTATGTGCAATAAGTGTGCTTTAACAAGGACCATACAGGTCTTTCCCAATATCAAAGGGGTTAATTTGTCATCTTGATGCCCAATCAGCTCTACTGTAACAGATGGATATTGATTGATCCTGTTAGAATCATGAACATGAGATGCCGAAAGCTCTGAATCATCTAAAGACTATATAATCAGATCTGGTGATCTTTTATCAAGCACTTCTCACTCTTTCACTGAGCCTTAGCATCTGTGATCAATACTGTTGAAGCTGTGCATACTTCCATTTCCTTAAAAAAAATATAGGGTTAGAAACAAACAATAGAATCATTAGGCCTCACTGAAGAAGGCTGTTTATTAAGCAAAGGGCCCTTCTCTGTGTGTATGTAGGACCCAAGCAAGAAAACAATCTAAAATTATCTTTTCATTTACCTCCATAGCTTTATCAAATCTAGAATTCGATCCTCTCACTCACCAGTCACAATTTCCACTCCAAGAATGTGATGGTAGCTTTTAACTGGGTAAATGCAAGAAATTTCTGTCCAATAGAAAGGTTGTAGCAAAATCAGAGATTTGATTTATTCTGGGGCAGGATGAAGGTTTGGTTTAAATTGGGATCCAATCTAGCACAGTGAATGTTCATTTTCAACAAAGAATAAAGATGAATTTAGTTTTGTTGTAGAAGAATTAATTCCTGTTAAAGGTAGTATATTTTGGATTGCAGTAAATACAGTGAGTTACTGTCAAATCTACAGTGATAGACAGACATCAAACCTTACCTCTAGCTGAGAAGCACTGCTTTGCAGAATAGTGAAAAGTAAATTTGATCATGCATGTAGTCTTTAAGCACAACAGGTTTCTAGTGCTGTGTTAACAGAATTGTGTATGATAGGGTTATGCAGTTTAATACTAGAAATGTGATGTGACTTCCTGTTTTATCTGTATAGATTGATGACATTAACAAAAAGCCAGAAGAAGGTAATAATGCCATAAGGTATGTTCAAGTGTTTCTGAAGTTTTTCACACTCTAAAATTCAAATAACTCTGACCAGGTCATTTGTCTTCAGAATAGTCCAGATAATGTTGTGGCTGTGGAACAATTTTATGTTGCTGTGTAAGTTATAGGGTAAGGGTAACCATCCTCAAAAGCCTTGGTCCATCAGGTTTTATGAGTCTCTTAAAATCTACAGCTTCAATAAACCAAGACAAGGCTTTAAACTGTCCAGTGTTAAGCAAATAATGAGTTCAGCTATTAATTAAGTGTTCAGCTGGAAAGAAAACCAGAAATAGTCTAACCCTCCAGGACTGGGGTTGTGCAGCCCCTGTATAGGGATTAATCACAAGGAAGACAAGTAATAATGGAGGATGTATAACTGAAGTTCTTAAAATGAAAAAGAGAAAAAATTGTGAAACAATTGTGTTTTACATCTGCTCTTCTCCCATGAATAAAGTGTTGGGTCTTGATGATAACTTGATTCATTAGAAATGTATTCTTTAATCAGGACATGCATAGTTTGCTGTGAAGTAGTGAAATGCTGTATGGATATTTGAGAATTCTTATTAGATCATATGCACTTTAAAATAAAGAAATTGTATACAACAAAGAAGGAAGTTGGTTTTTTAGTATGCTAAGAATGAAATTCTGCAGCACTTTTGGAACAGAAGATCGATAGTGTGTGTTTTATTTCTTCTTTTCTCCATATAGGTTTGTGAATGCCATGCAGCAGGATGTGAATATTTCAGCAGGGAATGCAAACTTTGGTGTCATTATACCTTTCACACAGTCAAATTACAGTCTACTGCCACAAGGAAAGTAAGTGTTTTTTCCAGAATATATGTTTATTTTATGCACATAGGATTTATGAAGTTGAACATCTTCACAGTCCTGCCATTTGAAAATGACCACCACTAAAACAATCTATACATCTGTAGTATTAAAATCAACCTTCTTCTTAAACGTCTACATCAGGGTCTGCAGGAAATGCTCCATTTCATGGGTGGTGTTCTCTTGTAACTGCATTATCTCTGAGTAGTACAGTATCTTTGTTTTAACTTGCAAAAAGACTATCTCTCTACATTTATCTGTATATCTCTATGTCTACACGGGTGATATACTATATTTAGTAAAAAATAATAGTTAATTTATTAAATATTTGTGAGGAAGACTCGCTCTTCAGCAGAATTCCCTCCCATTACCACATAGCTCTGTATTTGTTCAACAAGGTTATGAACATAGAGTAAAATGTTGCTTGTTCCAAGAGCTCAGAGCCCAGCGCCCAGATCCCATGCTGGTTGGTCCTGGTTTCTTGGACCTCATGGTCACTAAAGTTCTGAAGGATTCTCAGGACTTCTTTGATCCAATGACAATAAGAGGAGCAACAAACTCTTGCAATACAGTGAAACAAACTGTAGATAGCAACATGCACAGAGCATCACTGAGCTCAAGCCAAAAGAAATGTCCGTCGCCATGACAGCTTGGTTTTGAACTGTTACTCCACCCACTTGACAGTTCAGAACCTGCTTCACTGGATTTCATCCATGTGGCCCAAAGAAGAAACACACATAGGTCAGAAACTGACAAGGTTGTTATCCAATGATAACAAGTTCCAACAGGCTGTCAGGAATGGCTTGGGAGCCCACCAATACCATTTAATTACTAGGGCACCCATAACCTTGTGGGGCAGGGACAGATAAGTGTAAATATGAGATGGGAGGATGCTGAACAATGACCTACAGTATATGTGAAGCATGAATAATTCACAGATTCAGTCTATTCTGCATTAATTATACATGTATTTAGAAGTACAGAATCATTTCATGACCTAATGTGTTTTTACATTAAGGGTGTTTGGAATTTTGTTTTTTAGCACCACCTTCACTATTAGAGGTCAGAGCATTAAGTGTGTAACCTCTCGAATTTTGGGATTTGGAAGCTCTTATACAATTGTCCTTAAACGAATGGTGAGTACTACACCCTTCTTGTCCAAAATCGTCCAACAAAGACCATCATGCTTCTGTGACTGACATCATGGTGCTGTCTTTGTGATCAGTGCAACACTGACGAGGGCAAGATACCGGAGGATGGCCTAGTGTATATCGAGGACATCAAACCCAATACTGTCCATATGGCCTGGCAGATTCCTCAGTACTTCCTGATGACATCTGGAGAGGTTGTGTTCTCTGTTACTGGGCTGGAGTTCTCATACTCACAGGTAGGTGGTGCTCGCTCCCGTTGATCTTATCAAATACCTCACAAATATGTAAAAGTAGCACTTTTGTTTTGTTTTGTTTCTATGTAGAGCACAGTTACCTAGTGATCTTTGAGACACAGCCCTGGTTGTCTTCTATCAGAATTTTAAAAAATGCATGTTAACAAAGTAGTACACTTCCTTTTACTGCTAATTGTTGCTGTTGATGCTGAGGCTGCTGCTGTGTATCCCGGGTCTATATTGTTGTTGTACTTAAGATTCTAAGTTTTCTTTCAGCAAGGATGCAATACTCCATTGAGGTATAAAGAGATACTACATGTTAATCTTCAAATTAATTGTTTTTCAGGCTCCAAGCAACATGAAATCAGTCCTACAGGCAGGCTGGCTATTCACTGTAGCTGTTGGTAACATCATAGTGCTGATTGTGGCTGAAGCTGGCCAGCTCCCTGATCAGGTATGTGCAAGCTTACACACAGTATTTCACATTTTTGACTTGCGTTTAATACTTTATTACATTAATCAACATCTGCCAGATAGAGAAAGCATAGTGCCCTCCAAATTAATGGGACAGCAAAGCCAAAGGTTTTATTTTTGCTTTACAGTCACACAGTTTTTAATATAAATTATAAGTACATTATAATATATGGTTGATTTTTAGTTAATGACACCCATACGCTTGATCATATTAGAATAAAAACAAACTTTGTGTTCAACCCAGTGATTTCAAGTGACCCAATCTAGGTTGCAGACTTCACATAGTGATTACCTCAAAGTACAGTATATACAACCAAATACAGACTTTTGCACTCAGAAAATTTAAAGTGTGGATCTCCCAGTACAGTCACTGGGAATCTAAGTTACAGCTTTGACTTTGCTGTCCCAATTCTTTTGGAAGGCACATTAGCTCATAGGCCTGAAACCACAAGGAATTTGGAAATTGCCAGGTTCATCTGTCATGTAAAATATCGAGGAAGGGTGACAGCACTTTAATTCACTCAATCTGCTTTCGCACATGACAGACATTGAAATGCAAATCTCAGCTGTTTTACAGTGTCAGCCTATTGTAGCTTCGAATAATTTGAGAAACACAAGATTCAGACCTGTTGCTCCTCCTTTTACTTCTAGATTCTTCTTCCTTTGGCTTATTAACTGAGTGTGATGTTTTGTTCTCTTTCATTCCCCCCAAATGGTGACTCTTTCTCTGGACCAAGTGGGCTGAGTACATACTCTTTGCTGCCCTCCTTGTGGCTGTCAGCATCGCGTTTGCCATCATGGCCTACTTCTACACCTACGTGGACCCCTCAGAGATTGAGGCTGAGTTCGACAAGGAAGAGGAGAAAAGGGGTGAATTTCAGATGAACAAAACTCCCATCGCTGAAATGACAAGCGACGACTATAAACAAAGCAAGATGTAATCCTGGAAAAGCTTTTGTTCACTGAAAAAAGTTTGATTTTGTATGTACTTTTAAATGACTGCATTGAATTCCAGGTGGGACATACGGTATTGAATAACTTTAATAAAGTTAATACCTAATTCTAAATATTAAGTTAAACCCCTAACTGGAAGGGCTGTTATTGATTTTAGCACTTTTTGATGATGCAATGGAACAGGCTTCCCTCGATGTTCATGTATAGGCTGTGTCATTGCATGGTAGACATGGAAAATTTATAGGGATCCCCTATTCACATACATAAAAGTATACTCCCTATGGTGGTTCAGCTTTACCAAGTAGATTAACAAGGCGGAAAGATGTTAAATTCCTGATACTTTGCAAATAAACATTTTTAAGACTCAAAGAATGACAAAAATAAAACCAACAAGCATCTAACAAAATGCCTTTTGATCACAGAAATCACACTGACACTGAAACATGTGAAAATGTTTACAACAAGGTGATAAGGTATTATGATGTGTGACAACTTTTACATTTAATCTTGACTATAGAAAGTCTTGTCTACTCTATTTAACTTACTTGACTACTCTATAGTCAAAGTCTTGACTATAGGAACTTAATTATTTTAAGTTATATCTGTAATTTGTTGCCTTTTTTTCTGGAAGTAATTGTATACAGATTTTATTATGTTTTTTTTAATTCTATGAGGGAAACGTAAAGGCTGGGGAGGGCAAAAAAATAAAAAGACCATTCAGAGAATGTTTTATGTCAAAACTGTTTATGTCCATATATTATAAAGACAGTAACAGTCCAAATAGGATAACCCTTGCTATCTTCATATTAACTCACAACAACAACAACTTGATCAAATGTTTTGTTTAAAGTATTGTTTCCATTTTTTCTTACAGTATTCTGAAAATATACAGTTTGCTTTTCCCAAAATGTAGCTGGTATAATAAATTAATTTCAAGTAAAAGGAGAATGGAGCATCTAAACATAGGTAAAACCTCTTAATATTGGAATGGCACTTAACACATTTTTGTTATAATTTACATCTGAGATAAATTCGCAAGAAGATTTTCTACCTCCTCCGAGACTGAAGTGTTTAAAGAGTTTTGAGAAAATATTTAACTCTCTTAACAACTTTTACTTATTCTTAATAGGGTAAATGACCGCTTCTGTAGAAGTCCATCATTGAACTTACACAGAGGTACTGTACCACAAAACTGTGAGTTAAACTGTGGAGAATAAATCACAGAGGATTTTAATGCTTAACAAGTAGTCTCCACCAGAAAAAAAAAACTTCATAGGGAATAAATAAATATACCCACTAAGGATTCTGCTTCAGGTTATCCACTGAATACAGATGAAGAATGAAAGCAGACTGATGAATCTTCGCAATCGTGTGAAAACCAGGCAGCCATATCACTAAACATTTGCCTGTATTCATTCTGACCTTTTGTAAAATTACTTACTGTGAGTCATTTGAAAATAATTACTGGCATTAAATGTTATCATCTAAGGGGTCTTTTCACTCTCGGACACTTTTCACGTATCAAATTCAAGTGCCAGGCATAATAAGCACCGCAACAGCTTGTTTTCTGGCTGAAACAGGTAGTGAGTTACAAGAGGGCATGATCACTTTACTTGCAAGACAATTGTATGGCCACAAGGTGCCGCTGTTTAGCAAAAATATACTGCCAAAAGAGCCCGTAATTCCGCATTTTCGTTTTTTTTTTTGTAGTAATACGCCTGATATAATACAAATCCTTCATTTGAAAATAATGGATTGAAAATAATTAAATGACAAACTGATGAATATCAGACCTTTAAAACAAAGACATGTGTGGCTTTTGTTTGTACTACTGGATATTCTGCATGACTTGTTTTCTTTTAGCAGTCGTCCTAGTATGGATCATTTATGCCCTCTCATTGCAAGTTAGTTTCTTGCAATGACAGAACTATGACAAACAAGTATAGAAAAAAAAACAAATGCTGCCTTTTGTGGTACCATTTGATGTATATTAGGTAAATGAGGTTAAGTGTTTTGTGCATTATCAACAGAGCTAAGTGCCCCTTGTATTTCCCTAAGACTACTGGACTCAGTACCCCAAGGTACCACCCACAAACCCTGGATGAAAATAAAGATATGTGCCCTGAGCTTCAGTCAGAAACTCCAAATTGTGCATGTTAGCTTCTAAATCTCACAAGATGATAGATAAACCCAGAGCTGTAGACTGAAACACTAAGTGCCCTGAGTTGTATCATCTTAGCAGAGGGTCCTGGGTAAGCAGATGACTACATCCATGAAACATAAATCATAACAGTCAGTAGAATTTATTCTGTAGAGGAACTGGGGAAGCCAGTGTTTTTTTTGTTTACTTTTTCAACGGAGAATGCTAAATGGAGAACCTTTGTAGAACAAAATCAGTTGAACTTTTCTGGGGATTTAATCTAATAATCTGAGACCCAATTTAATTTAAAATAAAAAAACAATTGCTCCCCCTTACAAATTTATAAAAATATAGTTCATCTGGTGAAGCAGTGTTTTGAAGTAATATCTTGTTATCTGTCCAGCAACATACTTCATACAGTCTCATATAACACGGTGTACTAATGTTTTGCACAAAGCTTAAACTGTAAAAACTCTATATGAAATCGTCTCATCGGTTATTTCAGCCATTGCATCACAGTTGCTAATTTTTCCTGGAACACTTTGGTATCTGACAATCTGAGACAAACAGCAGAACACAAGAGATGTCATTAACAGTAGTGCTGTGCTTCTAATAGTTTTACCCAGGTTATATTGTGTTTTTACCATGCTTGTCCGTTATTTTCTTATATAATTCCTATTGTTCCAAACATGCTTTACCGTGCCAGTAGTATACTGCATCGTATTACCGAGTAGATCACTGCTTCTTAAGATGCATGTAAGAAACTTTTTAATGTATAGTTCCATCAAGCATATCTTTGTTATTGGCTTGACTTTAAATGCTTTTAAATTATTTGCTGCTTCATCATATTAATAATTCCAGTTAATTGTTGTTGTTCAAAGTGTTTGATTCCGGCATTATATTTCCTTATTAATAAACATACAAACAAACATCATCTGAACAGACTATGGAGTGTTTTCAGCTGCACAGATTCGGCCATCCTTGCGTTATGAAACAGTTCTGAAGTGTATGTATCAGAGACTCTTTTTAAGATAAAGCCCCAGTTATTCAAATCAAAATCTGGGGCTAAAAATAGATTTGACCTCATTTTATACGAGATGTTCTCTTTCATTTTGCACAAGAAAGACTTCAATAAATTCAGTTATGGCTATATTTCCATCCATGTTTTTTTTTCTCCCTGTGATATTAATATGCATAGGTAAATAATACGTATAAATATTTTAAATGAAAAATTACACATTTTTCCAGAAAAGATATGCTTGTTGTTCTTTGTGAAATCAAGATGCAATCTTACTTAATGCCCTGATCATTTTGAAGCAGTATTAAGCATGCTTAATGATTTCGTGTTTATTTAAAATGTAAAAGTCAATGAATGGACCTGCCGAATTTTTCTTTTTGTTTGTCATCTTTCAGTTTGTCATCAATGCCAGTTATACAGTAGTTAATTTGTCATTGTGCTTATTATATCTGTTCCAGTTGTTTCATATTTATGTATTACTGTGGATGATATCTCAATAAGACTCCAAGTAAGAGAATTCAAAAGCAAAAGCAGTTATGTACACTGTGAAAGAGAATCAATACTAGGTAAACATTTGTACTCAAACCACTTAAGTATCCTCCTGTTGTTATCTTTTAAACTCTCGTTAATAGACATCAAATGTCTTCAAGGCCCTTTTAATTACCTGATGTTTTAAAAGGTTTGCTGGATCATAATTGTACACAACACGTGTATGTGTTGGGGAGTCAGTGTTAGTGCATGACATTTTACACAAAACTATCATTTTCCAGAAAGAAAAACTTTGTATTTACAAAAAAAAACTTTAATTTGCTTTGTGGACGAAAAACTCTATTCGTTTGAAGCTGATCTACTTATCTTCATTAGAATGTGAAATGTATTTTATTTTGGGACTTATTTTTAGTTGATGTTTTGAGCCTATGTGACACAGGTGTGAAGTGTATTTCAAGAAGTAACTGTAACACTGTCTGTAACTGCTTGTTTAGCCAGTTACAACGTGATCCCTAGAGAAACTGTGTGGTGTTGAATTCTCCTATGAAGGGAGGCCCAGCCTTTTGACATAGTGGAGTTCACCACTGTCTGAGGAGGTGCTGAGCGGAACAAAACTGGCATGTTGCTAAGAGATGGCGATCTGATCCCAGCTGTCACATAATCACATTTTGTTTAATGTGATGGTAAATGATTCAGTAAGTGTATGGTTTGCTTTGGATGGGAGAATTAAAAATGACTCTAGTTTTCAATATATCCAGCTACTGTACATGACATAATTTATTCTGAATAATGTTTTACTGTATATAGCCTAAAAGGCTCTTTTATGGAGAGAATGTACACTGGGTTTGTGTTTAGAAGAGCCAAGTTTTTTGTACTGGCTTACTATTTAATTTGTGCCTAATTATTTTTTTCCTTTATGAAAAAAAGGAAAAAATCAATAATCGGAAATTCAGGTATAAATTCCTCAGGAACTAAGATCCAATGTAATAATAAAAATATAAAATATAATCTTCGCGCGCCTGCCATGTTTGTCATGCACCATACAGGTTAACATGTCACTTTAATAATTAAAGGAACAAGCAGATGTTAATTCCATGCTGAAAAGCAGAAGGCGTGGAGCCTACTGCAGGTGTGTTATTTAATAATTAGGTGCATGCTATTTAAATATACATTTTCCCGCCGTCACTATGAGAGAAACGAGTCATCTTAGCCCGCAAACCCACACCACCCGAATTCCTGGTTTTTCAACCAGAGGGCACTGTATTTCCATCATCGCCTTCTTTTGTTGTTTTAATAAATAATTTTAAAACTCCATATCTTGATAACAATATATAGTTTTTCACTAATGTTGACCCTTTTTTATTTTTTTACTTGTTTTTGACTACGTGACTGTCTTACATAAAGAGCAAGTGTGAAGCACAAGTTTTGTTGTGAATTTTTTCCTAACTTAATGAACAAAAGCCGTGAACAAATTACATGACACTTTCCATATATTGAACTGTTTCCTTAATTTACTCCCCAGTACAGTCACTGTTGGAGATTTGTAGGAATCGGACAGAACCCAAATTGAACGGTATAATCGCATGTCCAGGCGATGCACTGAGAAAATGGCTACAGTGTTAATGGTCTGCGCTTTTTCTCTTGAACCAAAAGCTTTGCACAAGGTACAGTACGTCCAGCTGGACAGGTGAAACTAGATTTTCACTTCTGTCAGCAACTCGATCACGGAGAAAAGGCATGTGTGTGGTTATTTCATCACGAGTATTACATATTTGCGGTAGCCAGCATAAATGCAAGTAAAACAAAAAGTAGGAGTCAAATAATCATCCTTATTAATCATAATCTCCATTACAATATAGTAGACGACCGCACATTGCGTGTGCTAATTCACATCTTTGTTGTGCAAACTTGCATCAACAACGTGACCCAAGTGGACAAGATATTTGAACAAAGCGTTTCCCTTAAAAAAAATAAATGGTCCAAAAGTATGGTCATTGTACCGACCAGCAGTCATTGCATGCATTTTTTTTTACATAAATACTACATCCATCTGCTTTCTAATTACTTTTTCCAATTCAGGATTGCGGGGGAGCCACCCAGTTACACCTAGAACCTTAGCGGGAAGCCAAATCACCTACAGCGTTTTTGGTAAACGGAAACCCGTGCGAACGCGGACAGAACAGACAAACTCCACGCAGACAGCAGCGCAGAAATTGAAGTCAGGGCCCCAGCAATACTAACCAATGCGCCACCATTACGGTTACCATTACATGGGTTAAAGTTTCCGTTTCCTTGGGGGGCCTAGGCGAGAACACCCGTCTATGAATATTAAGTTAATCTTCAATGGTTTATGTTTTTTTTTTGTACAGCCATCAAATTTATATTATTTCTGTCACAAATCCTGTGCTCGAACGTGCATATTATATCCTGTGCATATTATAACAACTGCACGTTTCGGGCGAATGTAATTGCATAAGCTTAAAATAACACATCCAGGTGGATGCTGCACATTGGTGGTGGTGGAGGGGAGACCCCATTACCTGTAAAGCGCTTTGAGTGGAGTGTCCAGAAAAGAGCCATATAAGTGCGAGCAATTATTAATTATTATTATTACTTTTGCACAGCAGAGCAGAGTAGAGGCTGGCCAACATTCTGCCCGGGAGTGAAGGACCGAGCGAGGCGGGAAGAGTGGCTCCCTCTGCCGGTGCAGGAGCGCCACTGGGCCTGGGAGCCCGGATCCGCCCTGATGTCAGAGTGACAGTGCTGACAAGATGGCGGAGGGCAGGAGAGCAGAGTGAGGAGGACAACACAATAATATATCGTAACTGTTCTAACGCTGATTATCATTTTAAGCGCTACTGTAGGGTGGGTTTCGAAACACGGGCGCCACCTTTTTGGACAAGCAGTGGTGGGATGGTAGCGGAGCACATGCACCCTTGTTTGTGTGTTACGGTGGGAGATCTGTCCACGGAAGACGAATTGCACACCAAAGCAAAAAGCCTGCGCTCCCTTTCGTGAAAAAAATAAAATGCCGAGGCACAGCACGTCACTGGCGCGTATATTTTAAAAAAACTGTCTCGGACTGTGATCCGTATGCGTTGATTTTTATTTTTTTATTTTTGTAGTTCATGTTCTGGAGGTAAATAGTTTGGTTTTCATCCAAACAAAAAAAAAAGGGAAGGACCCTTCGGAAAGCTGGGTAAACCTGATCCGGGCTGCCAGAAGTCAGTCTGTGATTTTTTTTTTAATTTATTATTTTCTGTGGATAAATTCTCGTATCTACAGGACATAACCTACAAATCCAAGAGGACAGGAATATACAAATTCGCATTTGCTGGGATCCGAGTTAGGAGATCGTGTTGTTGTTTCTTGACAAGTTCTCGGGCTCAAACTGCTGTACGCCATGGCTCACTCCCCGGTGCAGACTGGCCTGCCTGGGATGCAGGTAAGACATTCACCTTCCGTTTTCTTTAAATGTTCAACCTACTAAGTGGGAAAAACATTACACGACCCTGAAATGCGTACCGCGGCAAACAAGACACAATCGTTACTTAAAAACATCTGTAGCTTGCCAAGCGGCAATATTGTATCGCACTAGGCGGAGAACTGCGGTGAGACGTTGTGCCCAGCAGTACACGAAAGCACATTACTCGAAATCGTGGCGCTCCAGCCGGCTTCGACTCTGTAGAGATGTTGCTTTTGGTGATGCAAACATTTCCCCCTTCCTGCACTTTTAAGTGTAGGAGTAGCGAGGAAGTGGGGGGACTACGAGAGGCCTGTGAGACCTTACCCGCTCGAGTCCCGTGTTCTCCGGGGCACTGGAGTAATTGAGAGCCGTCCGTAGGGACAGGACCACCGAAGTGCAATGTGCATTGCTGTACTTAATTTCCTAGCGGAATGTTGCGTTTGTTAACAGCCGAAACATAAGAACACTAACAGGAAAAGAGGGTCTGTACAGCATTTGCCTTTAACGACAAATGCACTTTGCAAGAGTTAGATATAAGGACGGTAGATATGCATCTTTTCTAGGGGTTAAACCTTTGAATAGTTGAGGGTAGAAGAGACGCCCTTGAGGATGTTTACTTTCAACATTTTTTTTTTACGATTTTGGCCTGTAAAGGAGAGCACTCATGCCGTATTCTTTGTAGCAGGATGGTGTACCGAGTGTAACCTTTACATAGAGCAGTAGAGTTTGCTTCGTTGTGGGGTTATTTAATCAATAAATATAATTTTTGATTGGACAGTTGTTCTATTTGGGACGTATTGTAAAGAACAAGGGTTAGATTAAAATATAACGTTAATTACAATGCTGTTGGAATTGTCAGCAGACGACTTGAAAATATGAATCCTTTTGCAGTTACGCAGAAAAGGTGCCTCTAATTTAAGGTCGTCAGTGTCTTGATTCCGTGCACTTTTTTACTGTATTAACCAAGTAGATGATCACAGAGTAAATCGTCACCTAACTGCTATGTTAAATGCCTATTTGCTTTCGGCACCGACGTGGTAAAAAAAAATATTTTTAAAGGAATCACTTTAAGATAATATAAGACCTAAAGGAATACGAAATAACCTTTTAGTACGTTTCAGGCTGACATGAATGCATTACTGCATTCAGGCTGCTCAATTGCTCAACTACAAAGGCTGTTTAGAGATTAATGGATTTCCGCCTTAACAAGTGTTAAGTAGAAAATTCTCTCTAGTTATGGCTGTGAAGCTGTGATGTCATCCATAATTGACACATTGGCAAATTGTACGTCATTGGGGCTTCATTATGTATCTGGGATTGAATTGGTTGTTGAAGTGTTTCCCCCAATCAGGCTTGTATTCAGCAGAATTCCTAGTATTCTAAGAAATTTAGCTAAAAACGTTGACCGTTGAAGGGGGACTGAATGACTAAATGCTTTGCTTCTGCATGTCTTTACATGTGACATCCTAATGATTACACTAGAAATAACACCACAATTTACAAAATAAGTTGTAAACCTTGCAAAAAGAGATGTTTGGCATGTTCTTTGTTGTAATGTAGAAACTAAAGTTCACAGTGTGTACTGTATAGATTTCCTTTTTGCTACTGCTATTCAGAAATAAATCTCCACTTTCTGCACGCAAGACTATTTTACAGAGCTAGACATTTACAGTTCATGCTATCTTTTAACTTTTTAAGTGCCATCTAAAAGGATGTGAGATAGTGTGCATAAAATGTTTTATCTCTGAATTATTCCAGATAGTTTTAAATCCAAAAATGCAATCCTTTAACTTAAATTAGGACTAAGCATTCTGATTATTCATTTCCAATAGCTATCAGAACATGGGAACTAAAGGGATGTTTCAGCATTACCTGTTACTTAAATTAGTCATTTTCAAGCAGACTGAACAGGAAATAACATTGGCATGACAACTATTTAGCGTGTCAAAGTATGTTTTAGTCATTTTGTGTAGAACATGATGTAGATAAATTAAATCTCTCATCCCGAGTTCAGCCGACACATTCAGACTCCTAAGAATGAATGCTGCAGTTTAAACAGCGGAGATTGTACAGTCGTCATAGTGTGACGTCTGTGCACACTTCTGGCCTCATTCAAAAGTTGAGCCTTGTGCATTTGGAGTTTTTCTCTCCTTTTACATTCTCTACCTGTTTCCCATGGTAGAGCTCACATAACAGAAGTTACAATGTTCAGTCCCAGGCAGCCCTCTCTTCCAGCAGCTGGATGGCTTTACTTTCTCGCCTTTCTGTCCTCAAAAACTTAATTTGTAGCTACCTGCAGTCTATGCATTATGTCAGAATTACAAGGACATATTGTTAACAAAACAAGGCATTTTAAATATAAACAACTTTTGACAGATGCGAGATCATCGTTAGTTCAAGTAGCCACTGAATAACAAAGAAAGTCCAGGCATAAGGTTATCTAAGGTTGTTAGAATTACAAGACTTTGGAGATTGTCAAGGTGTTATATAAAAGATATATAAAAAACAATCCTTCAAAGTCAGTCATCTCACACCTGGTTGATGGAGGTGAATGGAGGAAAATTATTTATCAGGGTCATACCAGAATTTCCCATAAATGCTAGATTGAGTTTGGGTCTCGTGACTGTGAAAGGTCATGTCATATGAATGACATTTCATGCTCATCCAACCATTGAGCGACCATGGTCATCAAGCCTGCTGGTGACCTCTGCGGATGGGGCCATTGTCATCCTGGAAGACATCCCTTCTGACAGGAGAGAAATGCTGCAACATGGGGTGAAGATTAGCATTCGGCGACATTAAGCAGTGATTAGCACAGACCATATCTTCTGAGGCAGTGGCTCTCAAACTGTGGTACGCAGAGCGTTGCCAGGTGGTACGCCATATGACCCTGGAACTTTGTTGTGTGCACTGAAAAATTGGGTTGGGTTTTCATATTTTCTATTTTATTAAAATTAGTTTGTGTCGAATATGCAGCCTACGTACAATGATACAGCACGTGCTAATACTTGAGTGGACACAAGAGCTACATTGTAATTCTATACTAATGTATAGGAATGCATGCTAAGAACGCAAGTGACCAATTGTATTTAAAAAAAGTTATCTCCAATAAATAGGGAGGTAGGAGAATGTGCGTGATTTTGGAACAATGCCAATGTTGTAAGCACGGGAAAGCATAGAAATGCATACTATGAATGCTGGCAATCTTGTGAGCACAGGAAAGTGTGATAGATAACAGAAAAATATTTAAGAACTGTTCTAGGTTAATTTTAGAAAAGTACACCGAGTGTCTCTGTGTTTCGCTCCCATACGCATGAAATAAAAACTTCTTTTAACTTCTGAGACAAGATCCTGAAATTGAAACGGGGAAAAATGCAAGCTTGCGAATTGCTAAATGAGGTAAGCCCCATACTACTTGTGAAGAACTTTGTTTACCGTTGCCAAAGAGCTGACACGTATTATGTGTGGAGAAAAAGCTGCTGAACAGCTCGACCTGCTGCCCCCTCCGAAAGACATAGTCAGTCATAGAATTATTGATATGGCGGACAATGTCAAAAGTACGCTGATGGAGCGCGTTAAGATGAGCAGATGCTTTTCACTGCACTTAGATGAGTCTATAAATGTCGTTGATTTGGCCAATTTGCACATTTACGTTTGATACGAGTTTGAGGGCATGTCCCATGAGGACTTTCTGTTCTGTAAGCCGCTACCAACAGGAACAACAGGAGATCACACATTTCAGTTTCTGAATGAATTTATCAAAGAGAATGGCATCGACTGGATAAAATGCTTCGGAGTTTGTACAGTTGGAGCTAGAGTGATGACAAGCCGAAACAGCGGTTTAGTTGCACGAATTAGAGAGGTTGCTCCAGATATGAACTGCAGCATCCACCGCGAGGCCTTGGCCGTCAAGAAAATGCCTGATGATTTAAAATCTGTTAGACTGTTGTGAATTGTATCAAGCCCTGACCAATGAATTCACATCTGCTTTGCTCAACTAAACAGGCTCACGCCTCTCACTGAAATGGTGCTTTTTTATTGTTTATTTTTAATTGTTGTTGTTGTTGTTGTTCCTTTTGTCATTCTGTAAAGCGCTTTGAGAAGCCACCTTTAAAGGTGCTATATCAAATAAAATTTATTTTTATAATATGTATTATATGTGTGTGCGTGCACGCACGCTCGTGTTGGTCATTAAGAATTTCTGGGGTTCCTGTGAGAAGATGACTTGTAGGTGGTACTTGGATGCTTTGGTTTGATCAGGGGTGGTACGTGGTCCAAAAAGTTTGAGAACTACTGTTCTAAGGGAATCACTGCATCCAAACCATCCCATCAGACCATATCACAATGCTCTATTCCTCAGCGGTGTATTGTTAACAATAGTATCCCACTCTGTGGCGTGCTCAGCAAAGAGTTGTTAATGAAACTGGCGGACTCTCCCTAGGTTGAAATTTGCAGTCTGTTACGTGCCTGTTTTGCCATGGACTTTGCATCAGTGCTCCACTGTTGCCATTTATTGATAATGCCTTTACCTTGGCTTGCCACGCTGACATCCATAATCAACACTGTTGCTCGTGAAACAGCAAGTTGAGTTGTCTTGGCCACGAATTTCCAACCAGTCATTTCCCCTCTTTCAATATCACTGAGCTATATATTCTTGCAGCATTGCTATCCATAATTTTAGTCAACCAGGCCCAACCAGCTTATTTAGATGACCCTAAGCGTGAGCCACATTTGGGATGGTATTTGGTTCATTAATGCATCAGCCAAACCTCTTTGGAAGCCCTTGCTTTCAATATACTCAGTGTCACCCTTATATAGTATGCATGCTGCGATGTACAATTGATTAAAAAAAGGTTCACACATCTCTGTTTTTCTTTGTAGATGTGTTAATCTATATCATATGTATTTTTCCCATGAAATTCTGTAAATTACGCATGCATCTTTATCTCTTATCTCAATTGCAGCAGTAGCTCTCACTG